CTTTTTCCAGACCTCCAGTGGTGACTCGATTTTTTTTAGGGAGGGCAAGCCGTAAATCCAGCAAAGACTGGTGCCCTTTTTGCCCATGGCCTCTAGTCTAGTCACGAAGCCGCTGTTTGGCGAGGTTAATGTGGAAATTGAAGCTGGAGTTGGACAAGGAATCCAAGCACTTGCTGGTGTGAGGGGGGTGAGTTGATGCGAGCGCATCTTTCCCAGTTTGTTTCCTGCAGGCCCATGTTGCTTGTGCTTCTCTGGTTCATAGCTCTTCTCCGCGTAAATCGGTGCGATCGACCCTGAGCAACCTACCCAAACATTGGGGGCTCCAGGGATATGGAGTCTGGCTGGTCCGCAGAGACTGACGCAGTTGTTCAAAGCCGACCTTTGAATCCCTTTTCTGTTTTCCCTTCTTAACCCCCACTTTGGGGGGTTCCCCACAACTTGGATCACCTAATATGTCCAGGCCCTTTTTTGGGGGGGGCACATTTAACCCTTTGGTCCACTTTTGGAGGTGACAAGGGTGGATATCACCCCGTATTTCCATGCAAACATGATTCTAATCAAGAACAAACATCCAAATCACAATTTCTCAAAAACAAATAAAGCCATCCCCCTACACCACAACACGGAAAAAATAAATAAATGTTTTTTGTTTTGTACAGTTTTCAAGTTTGGCAGGGGCCGGGGCGCGCGAATCGCCCCGAGCGTTTCCTCCCTGCCAGGACCCGGCGCTGGAGGAGGCCCTGGCCAAGCTGAAGGACTACACCGAGCCAGGTGCGGCGGGTAGGTCTGGGGGTGATTTCGCCGTGCGAATTCGGAACCTCGTCGTTCTTCTCAAAAACCGATCGCTGTTTCCCCTGAATTTCCGGAGGTTTTCTGGAAAGATGCGGATCCCTGGGAAGAGTGGGGAAGTGTCCCCTAGAATCCTTTGGTGCATTTATGGCTTTTCCGAATTAAGCCACTAGAAGTTAAACTTGTAGCAGGGCTTCGCAGAAAGCCACCCGGCTTAGGCGGGGCAGGGTGAAGTGGGGACCAGCGGCGAGGGATTGGTGGACGGTTGGAGGTTTTCGAGGGAACAGAGGATTGGGGCAGAACCCCGTCATCAACTTTCTGCGCGTTGCTCGGAAGGTGTGTTTGGCAACAGTTCGCAGGGTGAAGTCGAAAATCGATTTTCTTGTCCGCCTGCAAGCCCAAAGCTGCAAACAGGAAGGCACGCCAGGCACAGAACGTGTCAAGCCCTCCAGAACACGACCCACACTTAATGCATTTCTTGCAGTCATTCGCCTAAGGGTCTGGTACTCAGCATGCGTTCGCAGCTGTACGGGTACTTGCTTTGTGCGGTTCTTATAGGTTTCTTGTTTTAATAGGTATGGCCAAGCACGTCATATATATAGATCTACTTTTCACATCTTTCCCGGATTCCGTTACAAACAACACGGAAGAAGCGGGCACAGTTTTCGGCCGGCCCTCCGTCGGGTGTTGATTTTTAGCTTGCCCGAAAAAGAAGCCCAACGAGGATGGGCCTGCTTTGATACATTTTCCCGGCCCGGTATGTACCACCCCCTATGTGTTTCCAACACTTGGTGCAGGTCGCGTGAGGATAGAGAGATGCACGCGCATGCATGCGCGGCGCATAGATTGGTACACAGGCATGTTTGCAAGCTACGCACGCGTGAATATCTGTATAAACATGTTTATGGTTGTGTGCATCATCATACCTGAGCATGCGCGGCCTTCAACAGAATAAGTTGTGCTTGTGGCGTCATCTACGCCGTAGGTGCATGCACAAGGCGCTTGCACCATGTGCGCGTTTACAAACGTACGTACACATACAATACATTCATGTGTACTGATTTCGCATGTGCAGGATATGCATCAACACTAAACGGCTTACATGCACCATATTTGCATGCATGAGCTCAGGTTTTTTGCAAATGCACCTGTGTATGCATGTGCTTGTGTGTGTCTAAGGCATACGCGCAGCGAGTCCATACATATATACGCATGCGTGCATGGCGTAGTTTGTATGACGCACACATACAGGTCCGCTTTTCGTCGCACCGCCGAAACGTGGGCAACTGCGCCACATAGCCCCCAATTTGTTCCATGGGTTCATGAGGGGATCTCCGCTCCGGAGTCCTGTTTCCGCGGTTTCACCCCCCAAAACGCCGCGGCCAAGAGGTGGGCCACTCGGCCGCTTCCGGGCGCCAGGCGAGGACTTCTGGGCGCCCAACGCGAAGCTCGCGCCGGCGCCTTCTCCGCCGGCGCCTCCGCCGGCGCCCGCAGAAGCGGAGCCGGCGAAGGCGCCTTCGGCGGAGTCGGAGGCGCGCGCCAAGGCTGGAGCTGAAAGGGGCGGTGGATTCGGCAGCTGTTGACCCCGGAGTAATTTACCCGTTAAACCCCTGTTTATTGATATGGGGGTGGGGGCCCCTCCAAAAGTGACAAATCCCCACTACCAGGGACAGGCCCCATATGGGTCAACATGAAGTGGTCGGTAACTCCTGGTGAAAGCCCACTCAGGAGACTTGCAACCGTATAACCAGGCTCACTTACCAAGTGCAATGCCCCTTGAGGTAGTGAAGGCTGAACTACTAGACTCTGGATCCCACTGTGAAGAATACAGTGGGTTCCAACTGGAAAAAAACTGAGGACGCCTACGCTTTAGCTGCTCCAACTGTGGAGTCCACGCGCGAATTGTTGCACTTCAGGCGGAAATCTACAGGTGGGGCATCAAACGAACACTAGATGAAATGGTGGGCTACGGACCGTGCATTAAATCTTGCAAGTCAAATAAACCAACCATACTCATCCACAAAACCATGACAAATCAAGGTAAGCTAGAGGGTTTCCTTGATGCCTTATTACCCGCAATACGAGTTCATCGCATGGGGGGGGGGGATTGCACGCCACCCAAAACATGGTGAAAACTAAGAAGGGTGCTGAAACTGTGATACACACATTTGCCCCAATACTCCCAACGTAGACCCTTTTCCCCCCGGGAGGGAAGGCAACTTAGATTTGACATTTGGCAACCATGATGTGAAGTGAAAGAAAGATACCGAGGCCATGGGTTTGTCTCACACAGAACGGTTGGTTTCGCTTGATTCCCTGTTCAGACGGCTGAAAAAGTGCCCTCAAACACTGATGATGCAGCAAAATTCACGATCGATCACGATGCCAGCAGAAGCATCAAATACGTGAGTTTTTGAGGATATTTTCAGGAACGAGCACATGGTTGGGCCCTTGGGTTGTTCATTTTTTTCCTGAATCCTTTTGCCGCGCGGTGGCTTCCCTGATAGTCGTTGCGCAGGAGTCCTCTCATTTTGAATAGCCCGGCCCTCTTCGGCTGAGTGCTACTTCCCCTGAGGCCAGCATCATAGCCCCTAGTGGCCTGTCAGAAACAGCTCGTGTTCTGGGTGCTGTTGATCGTCGGGTGTCCTAGTGGGCATCCGCATCACTTGCAGGTGACCTATTAGCAGGAGGTTGTTTTATTTTGCTGAGGTTTCAGTGCCCCACATCTGCTCATTTGTAGGGCAAGTTGTCCTTTTGCTTGGGTTTTACGGGGGGCCAAAGGGAAAACCTAGGAAGAGCCCCGCCTGTCCTCGAGTTGAAACTCCCTCCAGGCGCCGGCCGGAGCCAGAGCGCCGCGGGCACGCCCCCCTCTCTCTCGCCCTTGTGAGGGGTAGGGCTGTTGGGAAACAAGAATGCAGTTGGATAGTAGGCACAGTTCCAAAACCCATTTGCTGAAACGAATATGCTTGATTTTCTCTTCTGGGTTTTGAAAAATGTTTTGAAGGGCACCTATCGCTATGGGAAGCGTTTTTGTTTTCTTCCTCCCGGGGGCTTCAGGAAAGGGAGGGGTCAGGCCATTTGGGGAGTTGTGCCTTCGGCCCGCCTCAGAGAATCCTTGATTTTTTAACGGGTGTTAGCCAATGTCCTGCAGTCAGGAAATCCGGCGGCCGGTTTTTCTACGAATGAACAACTCGCACGGTTCGCCGTGCATCCTTTGGTCAAGGTGAAGACCATGGCAGGGGTCTTTTGGAACATATTTGGCATTTTGAGAGTATGGACAGGATCAAACTATGATTTTGGTCTGAGCATACCGTTTTGTTTTCATGCCTCCCCCAATAAGATAGTCAACCACAAAAAGGGCTCCCTTTTTCCACCAGAATCACTGAACAACTGGTTTGCGACCCTGGTTTGCGGCCATTACTGATTGTTGATTTTGCCACGTCCGCGCATGTTGACATGATATTTCATGGCTGCGGGAATGGATGCCAAGTGAATCCACTTAAATCCAAGTCTGCCTGGACGAGCTTGGCTGGAAGGCCATATGAAGAACAAACAAATGTAAGCAAAGAACTAGAATCCAATCATAAAGTAGATGTACAACATAAATAACGAAAAGGAGAAAACAAAAAAAGAGCAACAATAATAGCAATAACCATGGAGGAAATTGGGGTTTGATGGGTTGCTGGGCGCCCTGGAGATGCCCGGATGTGGAGGTATGTATATTAACATGGAGGTATGTAGGTTAACATGAAGGGAGGCCAATGAAAAGCAACCTTCCAGACACACCCAGGCTTGGTGTACACATTCTTTGAGTTTTCTTGCAGTCCTCCCCCATTTGGCTTTTGTCATTCCCTTTACTTGCCCACATAAAAGGGAGGCTCCCTTTGAGTGGAAGACTGGCTTGAACGCTTTTGGCATCTCCTGGCTCAGGCGAGAGCTGAGGCCATCAGGATCCATTCATCTTTCAGAGGCCAAACCCAAGTCGAAGTGCGAAGAGGCCTTTCCAAACTCGGTAAGGAGCAAGATGAGGACAACTTGCGTGACATCCAACATCAAACTGCCCTCAATTTTAGCCCACATAGTTCGAGATCCTCAAGCCGATCTTGAGATTTATTTGCATTCGGATCTCCGGGCATCAAATAAACTCTCGGGGCCTTTGAGACTCGCGCCGTCCGCCCGCTTAGAACAAATTAGAGCGAGAGTCGTGAGCCATGACGCTGGACAGCTTCTTGGTTGATTTGGCCTGATCTTTAGACTTGACACTGTTTCGGAAATGATGTTTTTTCTCCCCACACAACTGGAAAAACGCTTGGGGCACTTTGTTGATTTTGATCGTTTTCTGGGGTTAGATGCTCCTTCCGGGATGCGGGAGCGACGCGGTAGACTTTTGCCACGGGACGGGCTGGAACGAGTTGCGATTTTTGGGGGCTCAAAGTCAGCTGGGAATGGTACCCTCCAGGTTTCCTCCGGGTGGCTCACGTCTGTGGACCGCCCACTTGCTGCGAGGCTTGGCGGCGGTCCTGCCGAAGGCGGCGGAGCCCATCGTGCTGCCGGTGCCCCCGGGCGCTGTCAAGGCGCGGAGGGTTTGACTCAGGGGTTGGTCGGAGAGAAAATTCCGGGGGAGGGGGGCCAGAGGGGGGGCTGTTGGTTGGAAAGAGACCTAAGGTCTGTAAATGCTGGGGGCGGGTGGGAGTTTTTTTTTTGGTCGCACAAGAAGGGGCGGCCTTCTTGCGCAAGGACTAAGTCTGGTCTTTATTGGGCCGGACTGAGCTGGGAGCAAGAGCGGATTTTTTGCTCTAGGTTCTCAGAACCTTTCCCAGAAGGGGTGTTCAGAGCCTTTGTGCGGGGGGGGGGGGTGTTGGGTTTTTCACCCTCGCAAGCCGCGCAGGTCCTGCCGCGCTGGGCAGAAGAGGACGAGGTGTCCAAGTGGCGGCTTAAGTACCGGGCCGGCGCCGCGCCCGAGGAGAGCTGCCCGGCCAAGACGCGAGCCGAGCCGAGCCTTGCGGATACCTCGGGCAACCCGTTGGGTTGGTTTGGATTGGTGGCTTGGATTCGGATTTGAACTTCTGGTTCCTTTTTTTTTTGAAGGGTAAACTGCCCTGGAACACCTTCAAGCCACAAATCCAAACACCGTTTTTTTGGAGGGTAAATGGGAAGCTGCACCGGAACACCTTCAAACCGACTGGGGTTCCCTAGGGATTTCCTTCTGGCGGTCATCAATCCAGGATTTCAGACAGCCAGTCTAAGGGTTCCTATCAAGGGTAACCATCACCAGAAGAAGGAGCTGTCAAGACGGGGCTGTTGGCAGTTTGGCTGTTGGCAAATGTGGTCAAGGCACCCCTGATATAAGGATGGTCGAAGGACCCGATGGGGCTCACTTTGCCCAGGCTGCCCGGTTTGGGGCACGTGTCGTAAAAAAGGGGGGGGGAGGTTCCCTTTGTTCTCCCCCGTTCAAAAGGCCCCCCCCCCCCACCCCCCACATACTATGATGCCACCAAGCAAGACAACCAAGGGTTTGATCAAGGGGTGGTTTAGACAAATCTGCGTTTTGACCAGTTCAAAGTGAGCTTCCTCTGGGCAAGAGCCCCTCGAAATAGCAAGTAGTTACCAAGACCCGTCTTATCGCGAATGCTGTTTTGTCCTTTGGGTTGTGTTGTGTTTGGTTGGCAGGATTGCCACTGATTTGGTCCGTTTTTTTTTTTTGTTGAGACACATTTCCTCTGGAAAACATATGTTCTCTCCGCTTAAAAGTGCAGGTTTCCTGCACGGAGGTATGCCAAACAGGCCCAAAAGCTGGCGGGTGGGCGAGTTGTCCATTTCCACGAAGGGGTTGGAAGATCCGGGCCCCAAAAGAGGAACCTAACGGAGGTGAGGTGTTTGTTGACAATGGCATTTAAGCCTTGATGGAGCTCTCCGATTTCTTGGACTAGGACCGCCTTTTCGTCCTAGGCCATTTCGAAACCGCGCAACTGATTTTGGATGGAGCTTCCTCTTGGTGTGAGGCTTTTGCAGGGAGCGGAAACAGGGTGATACAGGGAGTTTCTCAAAATAGGGGTCCCGTATTGGTTTGCCTAAAGGGCTGCTTGATTTTCAGACCACTTGACATCACTTGACAAGTGGCTCTGAACTTTACATTAGGTGGACAAACATCACCGAAATGATGCCCAGCAAAGGCTCCCAATTCGGGGGTTGATCGGGGCAAACTAAAGGGATTCCTACCGTTTTGGGGGTTCCCTATTTTAAGACCCGCCAAAGCCCATGCCTCGAGCTATCTCCATTTGATTCCATTTGGTGGTTTGGATTGGTGCCAGTTTGGGGCTTTGACCCTGTGAACGCCTCCAATCCAATCCAAACCACGAACGGGGAAGCTGAAGAGGAAACCATCAAGCAGGCCCAACATGGCTACTTTTTTTTTTTTTTACTTTCTCCGAGTTTTCCTTCTTGAAGGTCGTTTTAAGATGGAAATGAACTCATCCTTTAGTGGCGGGGGTGTTTCCTTCCACAAGTGAAGCTCCACCAAAAGGGAACCCGACCCAGTGTCATTGAGGGGCGCCCAGTCCAGGCTAGGGAGCGGCAGGTTTACCTTTCGTAAAACCTGAGGATGCACCAAGCGACGCAACCACCAAACCAGTCCCAAACCACGAATGGCGAAGCCAAAGAGGACGCCATCAAGCAGGGCCCAAGGGCTATATCTATAAAAATGCGTTCTTCCGAGTTTTTCCCCCCCTTTTTAGGTCGGTTTAAACATGGAAACCCAAGAGGACCACACCTGCAGCTTCACCAAAAGCCTGCCGCCGCTTCTTCCAGCTTCAACTGAGGCGAGGGCTGGGTGGAGCTGGAGCTGCGGCACTTCACCCGGGAGCTGCCGCTGTCGAACCTGGACTGGGGCCCGGGCCCCGGATCGCTTGAGATCTCGGCTCCGCGGCTCCCGAGACATCCGTCCTGAGGAAATTTTCAAATCGGAGCCTGGGGTTCCGACCAGCAAAGGATGGTCGACCCGGTGCACGGCAAGAAATGTTGAAGCCGGAAAAATCGAAGCCTGGGGGCTCCAACCCCTCCCAAAGCTTGCGGTCGACACCTTTTCTGGTAGATGATACTTTTTGTAGATGACGAATCTCCATTAAACAAGAACGGTCGACCCAATGCACGGCAAAGAATCTTGAGGCAGCCAATGGGACCGGTGGACCGCTCCGATCGCGTGGAGTCGAGTTGCGGAGGCTTGGAGCACCTCTTCCAGGTGGCAATTGAGACGCCGGACGGGTGGTCGGACTGGAGCCCGCCGGTGCACTGCCAGCCCCCCTGCCCACAGGCCGCTCGACCGCTTCGGACTCGGTCGGAACATACTCGGCATGTTGGACATCAACCGGCAAACAACGTTTAAACAAAAGAAAGAAGTGTTTTTTGGGTGTGAAACAAGAAAAGGACACCCGACATATTTGGAATGGATAGAGCCACAATCCGAACCTGGGTAGGGACCGAGACAGCCAGGTGCGCCCACTCGTTTCGAAAGATGACAACCCCCCCCCCCCCGAAGGGCAGAAGATGGCTTGTCTTCCTCTTAGCAACCTTTGGTCTTTGGAGTGTGACATCTTGAATCTCACTTCAGGCTTGCTGGTTAAAAACCGACCTTTTATTCTTTGGCTTCACTTTTTGTTGGACAACTTTTCGTCAAGGTTCCAGAAGGTCAACCTCCTTTTTCTGGGTTGTTTTGGCAAGTGAGCAGGTTCAAGGGTAGTTGGGTGGGCTCAGACCTCCCAATCATGTTTGTGAAGTATTAGCTTTTTGGTAGCCATTGTCTGGGGGCCAACTCTGCCTCCCTCAAACTGATGTTGTGCTGGTTGGCAGGGAATCACAGAACGGGGCAATCCGTTTCCACCCCGATGCTCTTTGCTGTCAACTTCCCCCAACCTCCTTTTGCCCCTGAGTGCAAAAAAGACGACAAGACTTCTGCAACGAAGAAGGGTCTGGCAAATAATGACCGTGCATCAATTTCAAATCGGCACAGGCGCAGAATAGTTCCGGTCTTTGTCAGATTCAGTGCCACACTCCGGGGCCCTGTCTTCTTTTCACATCTTTTGGGTGGCAGCCGAGTCATCTTGAGTCGCCCTTAAAAAAGTCACACGCGACAGGATGGTTTCCTTTCTTTCTGCTGGACACGGGGGGGTGTTCCAAAAAAAGAGAGACGCTCTTTGTTGCTTTCCCGAGGAACGAGGGACCCCCGACAAAACGAGCAGCCCATTTGGTTGCAGCCCCCCCGCGATTGAGGCGCCGGGCAAGCCGGCGGCGGTGCTGCCGGTGGTGGTGTCCTCTGAAGCGGTGAGGTTGCAATGGACGCCTCCGCTGGACGTGGCGACGGCCAGGGGTGCCGTGTGTTATGACCCACATGTCATGGGGTGGTTGGGGGTTTGGGGGATAAGGTTTGGGGGTGATCATGGTGATCTATTTGTGGGTGGCAGGGGGCACTAGAGGATATGTGCAGCCAAACCCTAAAACAAGACCCTAAATCAAGGAGGTTGCAAAGGAGACCCTAAGTGTCCATCATACGGGGGGGGGTTGGGACTTTTTGGTTCTCCGTGTGTCATGCGCCACTCATCCCAGGTTTCAACAGGTTTTCCCGAGCATTGGGGGCCAGTACTGGTTGGTTCTGTCAAGTTGCCTTCGGTCCATCCGAGGCCTCCCTCCCCCGACCGTTGCTTTCCAGACGAATCTCGCTGCCCGGGTTTTTGGACCTCATTTGAATATATTTGAATCCTGCGAACAGGTCTGAACTTTGGACCAAAGGCTCAAGAAGTGAGGAACTGTTCACATGCGGTTCCTTGAAATCTTTCGTAAGAAGACCCGCCACTTCCCTCAAGCACCTTATGCTTTGCCACCCCTTCTTCTTTTTTTTTGTTTTGTTCTTTTTGCATATTTCACGCGGACACCAGGGGCCGCTATTTGAGATCCCCGGTTGATTTGGGCTGTCTTGTTTCCGTCCGGCCAGGCAGTGTCCGAGTTGCAGGTGACCCGGTACAAGGCGGCTCCGGTGCCCTCGAACCGGGGAAGCCGCAAAACAAAACAGGGTTGTTTCACTTTGGTTGCTTCACCTGGGTTCCGAGCTTTGGGGTGGTTCAAAGATTCCAACTGGGCATTTGCCCTTTGAACATGGAACTCTGTCAGTCAGTCTCCCTAAATCAAATGCCGGAAAGCTCCTGGGCGTGTGGCGCAGGTTTTTGTCGGCGCCCCTTTTATACCACCCTGTCGCCTTAGATCCTACCAAAGGGTCGGTTCCTTTAAATAAACTTTAGGACGATCGGTCGGGATACCCAAGATTTGGCCCAAATGGCGGCGTTCGTTTTTACTCCCTGACCAGCCTGAAAAGGGCACAACGCTTCTCTTTTCTAATCTTCTCCTTTGCTGTGAACCAACGCATGGTACGGTACGTACCTCGTTTCATGGGGCGGCGATCGGCCAGTTCGCGGGGGGTGGCATTGATTGAATGACAACTTTGCAGTTCGTCGTTTTACCGGTTGACTTGAAAGGACACCTTGCAAGAATGTGACTGGAATGGAGTGTGTTTTTCCAGGAACCCTGGTTAACTCAGTTTGTGTCGGTGCCGCCTTTCCCCTATTTTCTGGAACGTAGTGTGGGGGGGGGAGGGGCAGTGCCCCAACAAAGAAACCCTTCTCCATACATGCCGCCATTGCCAGTGGAAAAGAAGTCTTGGTTTACTTCAGTTCGGGTCAGCCGCGACTCGAGTCAACACGTGTGTTTTGCGGTGCATGCGTGGGACGGTGAGATTCTCACGCCCCTTTTAAATATACAATACAGGCTTCCCGGGTCAATCATTGACGGCGCACACCCCCGCAGTTCTGTAGTCGTTCCGACCCAAGAATGCAATTATTGTTTGGCCACTGTAGCCCCACTTCTCCTTCCCCACTTGCTTGCGGGGTCGGGATTGTAAACCGGCATTCTTCCGAACATCAAGTGGGGACAGATGATGATATTTCTCCACATATTTTTTGCAGGCAAACAAGTCGTGCTTGCTCAGTCCTGGAGAGCGGTCACCAAGACCGGGTTTTTTGAAGTATCCAATTTCCATGGCAAGCCTGGTTTGCTGCATCGTCCGTTTCAGAGGTGGCATCCGTAGGCATGAACCCATGCTGAGTCCGATCCGTTTTTTCCGCCTTGCCGGAAAAGTAGCACGCGAAGAAGCATCAGTTTGGCGTGCCTTATCTGGAGGGTGCACGTGCTGGCGCTGTTTCAATCAGAGAGCCAACGTGAAATGACCCATTCTGGGGCTCCTCCAATTTGGACAAATCCATTCTTGCCCCGCGTCATAGCGATTCCAACAACAACAGTTCGCTGTAAGTTTTCTGAAATGGGTTTGATTCTCCTTCAATTGGACCAGGAATGTATTTGTCAGCCGGCTTGATATCAACAGTTCAGAATGGTTTATTCAGTGTCCAAACTTCATATATATATATATATATATAACTGTTGCTGCCAGGTCTTTCCATCGTCTTAGGGCCAAAAGGTCGAAGCCTTTCCCGTCAACTCAGCAGGGCGTTTCGCTGCGAGCATGCCGGCCTTAAACCAAAACAAAAGCGCTGCTCCGTGCAGATCCTGGTGAACTGGATGGCAGATGAGGCGATGTGCCGAGAGAGCCTATGCAGAGTCAGAAAAAAACACACCGGCAGATAAGGTGTGAGTGTGTATTGAATGTTGTGTGTTTGATGGATTTGCAAAGTGGTTGGTCGGTTGGTCGGTTAGTCGGTTGGTCGGTTGGTCGGTTGGTCAGTCGGTTGCTTGTTTGTGGTGTTTTGCGTTTGTGTTGGTTAATTTTTGTTTGGTTTGTATGCTTGCTTGTTTGTTTGCTTGTTTGTTTGTTTGTTTGCTTGCTTGCTTGCTTGCTTGCTTGCTTGCTTGTGTGTGTTGTGTGTGTGTTTGTTTGTTTGCTTGTTTGTTTGTTTGTTTGTTTCTTTGTTTGTTTGCTTGTTTGTTTGTTTGTTTGTTTTTGTTTGCTTGTGTATTTGGTTGGTTTGTTGATTGATTTGTTGGTTGGTCAGTTTGTTTGTTTGCTTGCTTGCTTAGTTGTGTTGCTCGCTTTTGCTTTGTTTTGCGTTCTGTTCTTCTTAGTTTGTTTATTTGGTCGTTTGTTTGGTTGTTTGTTTGCTGACTGGGTTGCTGGCTTACTTGCTTGTTTGGAAGCCAAAAAAGAGGCAACCCATTTTGGGGGTTCCCCTATGCTGAGACAAACATGGAACCTCCCAGAGGGCCGCTTAAGAAACAAATGGCCTCCCAGGGCTGAAAGGATTGCCAGCCAGGTTTGTTGGTGGGATGGGTTGCACATGATAATCAAAACCCGGTATTAACATGGTCTACTATGTAAAGAATTTATGGTTGGGATTGTCCCTGACCAACCTTCATCTACCCGGCTCTTTAATGTGTCTCACATGAACAGAACTGCGCCATTGATTTTGCACAGGGCCCTAGAAATCGCCCCAGGGACCGAAAAGGTAGCGGGCAGGGGCAAGTGAATTGTGAGGGTTGAGTGTCTTTGTAGCTTTTCTGGGGTCTGCAAAACCAGTAAGGTCAACCTTGCAACAGATTCATTCTGAAAGTAAGTAGTTTTTTGCAACGGTGGGCCCTAAAGAAAAGGATGGCTTCCTTATTGTTTCTCCCAACAGCCAACGCGGGGTTCCCCCAAAAAAATACACGGCAATTTGTCTTGGTACCCCAGGGGCCAGGGGCCTCCTTCAACAGGGTTGGTTTCCTTGCGGCTTTCAGACGCGGGGCGTTGAAAAGTGACACGCAAAGGTTGATCAATGTATCCATTGAGCCGATCGCAGCTTTTGTTGGTGGTTCCAAAGGAGGAAATTGCGGAAGCCCAATTTGCAACTTACTGGTGTTTTCCATTGGCGCTGCTACATTTGTTTGTTCCTAAAGAGAATGGCTGGGAAACCCTGATTCCCCCAATATTCTAGAAGACGGTGTGGATGCGCTTTTGGCGGATTTCACCTCTTCTTCCCCCAGACCTTTTCAATATCCTACAGGCGGATCCACAAAAAAAAACCGCCTCCAACCCGTTTCCTCGAAATATGCATGGCCAGCTGAACGTTCTAGGGTAGCCTACTCCATAGCGATGGCTGCATGGGCTAAACCCCAGATATGGCTGTGGGTCAAAACCAATGGGATCCTCATTTTGGGGTAGGTGACTTCACCACCCATTGTAGAACCTATTTTAGTGGTTGGATTGGGAGGGGGTACGGGCACAGAACAAAAGGGTACCTTTATTCTATCCTCTTTAGTGGAGGACCTAGAACATGCCATGTCTAGGAAAATGGGTGGTGAATTCACCTACCCCAAAATGGTACCATTGGTTTTGACCCACAGCCAGCTACACTCAGACATCCTTCAAGAGCTGAGGATCTTGGTGGAGGACAGCGACTCTCACCTGGTCACAGGCCTCGAGAGCTTGACGGACTACACCTTCCAGGTGGCGGCGGAGAATGCCGCAGGCGGGCGGCGATTTTCGAGGTCCGAGGTCGAAAAAAGGCAAAGGGGGGTGGGCAAAAAGGTTGGGTCTCTTGTTGCTGGGGTCTTGTTGTGGGGTCAAAAAGGTCGCGGGGTGGTCAACAACCGCCCGCAAAACCCCGCAAACGTCCGTAAATCAGTCCTATAAATCATTTAAATTCCGGAGAATGAATCTTCAGGCATGGTAGGCTTTTCCCTGCAACCTTTCCTCATGTCCCACTCAGAACCAGCCAAACCACTTTTTTAGCCGCTCCCAGCGCCGCCCCCTGCTGCCTTTTGTGGGTGGGGAGGTGGGGAGAGGGGAGAGTTTTCTGAACCTCCCGGGATGAAAGAATACAACACATGTCAACATAGGCCCCCCCCCCCCCAAAAGCGCGAAGCCCCCAAGAGAAAGCCCCGAGGCTGGAGCGAGTTCTCGGAGCCCAGCGAGGTGGTGCAAGTGAAGCCCCCGGTGCCGGGCACGCTGAACCAGCCGACGCTGCGCCGGGCGACTCATCACTCGGTGGACGCTTGGAACGGAAGGAGGGGGAGGGGGGGAGTGGGGGAGTGGGGGGGGAGGGGGGTGGAAAAAAGAGGTTGGTTTCGGTGCCGCGCCCTGTGGCGGATGGCCCAACCACCGTGATTTGCGGTTCGTAGGTTTCGCCTGCTTGTGTTTCCCGCGACCCAAAACCGCTCCCCGAGGAATTAGTTGTGATGGGGGTTCCAGGAAGGTTCAGGGCTTTCGACTAATTATGGTCCTCGTCCATGTGAGGCACACTTTTCGATTGTTTATGTCTTTATACAACTAACAGCAGAGTGCTGAACAGAAAATGGTTCCAGTTCCTTTTGATACCAGGGGCACTGAACAGCTGGGATGGGGTCCGTGGGCACTGAGGTCATCCAGTGGCAGCATCCGCCTTTGTCGGGTGTGCCGGTGGACTACTTCTGCTTTCGCCACACCACGCCACTCGGCGAGCTCTTAAGCCTCGAGTTTTTTTTGTGCGTATGTGTTTGTTGCGGGTACCTTTTTCACCTTGATGCAAAGGGAGGCCAACTCGAAACTATTCGGGGTCCGAAATCCCTATTTCGCGCGCGCCCATTTTTGTGTTGTGGCCCCGGACGTAGAACCGTTCGGTTTGGGTGCTTTCCGGCCCTACCAGTTATGCTGAGACGGACACTGGAAAGGTCGTTTTGTTAGCAATCATGTTTCCTTGAGGGCCGGGGGGTGGCTTGGTGATTTGACCTGGCAAGGGCCTGGCGCGAGAGGGAGACAAAACAACCTAGAAACGTATGGTTTGCCCGCTGCGGAAATCTGTTGCTATGTCGGTTCAGGCCCTGGCTATGGGAGGGAGGGAGCTTCCATTCGCTACAAAAACAAAGGAGGCAGGCCATTCCCTCGACCCTGTCTGCCACCCCAGATCCTTCTGAGGTTGCGTGTGGCCGCTGAAACTCCTACAGCCCACTTTGCCAATTCAATACGCTGAACTTGGGCGGGCGCCTGAATAACTTTAAAGGGAACCTTCAGCCCAAATGCCCCCTTTCCCTGTCGCTGCCAGACTCAGCAAAGCTTTTTGCCCTTGGCCGCTTCGGTTCCCATGCTTTCTTTTTCCCAACATTTTCCTGCCAGCCACAGCTTGGCCCTCATCAATTCGATGGTCAATCCAAGCCTGCGAACTCTAGACCCTTTCAACCTGTGGACAGTCGTCAAGACTGCCGTGTTGAGTACCATGTCTCACCTGCTCATGAGATCCACGTAGCAGGCCTGGTGCCCAGTCCGCAACTTGTATTTCGCTTTTTTTGGCAAAATAAGCAAAACAACGTAGTAAGCAAAAACATGTTCTTGTTTGAGGGTGCCGATGTATCGATATTATACATATGTACATATGTATGTGTGTCTATGTATGCCTGCATGTATGTATGTATATGTACCTATGTATTTGTTGCCATATGATGCTTGTACATCGGGCCGCGGAAACCCTCCCGGCCTGAGCCGAGGGCTCCCGCCGCTTCCGCAGGTCCACGGACTGGAAGGCGGACGTGGTGGAGCTCCGCGACGTGCGCCCTGGCCGCAGAGAAGGCGCCGCCGACTCCGCCGAAGGCTCGTCTTGCTGGCCGAAGACTGGCGGGCTCACTGGTTGAGTGGTCGAAGATGCCATGGCGCCCGGACAGAGATGAATAGTTCGCCAAGTGTTGGCCAGCCCCCCCGCCCCCCCGCCCCCCCCTCAACGACTGCTTTTGCGTACCCCAAGTGCTGGCCAAAGTGCAGTGGTTGCGGGGGGGATGCTGGGTGCTGATCTTGTTTAATTCCCACAAAGTTGTGTTTCTAGCGCGTTCAAGTCGGAAAGCCGCCATTTTAGAACGCTTTCCATTTAGAACAGGAACAGCCCATGCCTCCCCTTTTTTGTCGCAGACTGAAACAGGCAATTACTTGGTGACCTGAAGTTCAATGAGCTTTAGTCATTCCTGGAGGGCTGCAAGCCTAAGAAGCGTACTGCGCCAGCCTGAGGTGCCCAATTTTTCCGACCCGGTTTTGCCAACTTCGGTTCAAGGAGAGTTCGCGGTCCGTGTGTTTGCTCGGCTGTGTATGCTTCATATGCAATCCGACGGTGGAACCAGCGCTTCGAAATGGGACCAAGGTTGTTTTCTCCTCAAGGCCTGGAGATCCCTTTTGATCAGCAAATATGTTTCACGAGTTGCCATGGACCATAAACACATGAGGCACGGGCAACATTATGGGTGTGTCTTGTGAACAGACCTCTCGCGGGTTTCGCTTTGGCTGTCCCAAAGCTGCCACACAAAAAAGGCAGCCTCAAAATTTGACGCTCCCAGATGTATGTCGGGGCAACGGCTGGGACTGGAGGCTCGGACAGCATCTCAGGCCCCCCTTGCTGTCACAGTACGTCATCACCGGCCTCCGCCCGGGGCAGGCTTGGGGGTACTCTTGGGCGAAGGGCTTGGCCGTTTTTGGTTTCTAGACACTGGAAAATCATGTGTCAGAATAAGGGATTCCGCAACGTGGCGGCTTTCCTTCTATTTTTCCTTTCCTCCAACCCTGAAACAAACACGGCTCTCTCTCCCTCTTTCTGTCTCTCTGTGTCACTCTGTCTCCCTGTATCTCTGGTCGCTCTGTGTCCTCTCTGACTCTCTCTCTCTCTCTCCCTCTCTCTCTCTCTCTCTGTGTCCCTGTGTCGTTGTGTCTCTATGTGTCTGTATGTGTCTGTGTGTCTGTGTCTGGGTGTGTGTGTGTGTGTGTCTGTGTCTGTGTGTCTGCGTAGAGAGAGAGAGAGAGAGAGAGAGAGAGAGTGAGAGAGAGAGAGAGAGAGCGAGAGAGAGAGAGAGAGAGAGTCAGCGAGAGAGAGAGAGAGAGAGATAGAAAGAGAGAGAGAGCAAGAGAGAGAGAGCGAGAGAGAGAGAGAGACCGAGATAGAGACACAGACATTTTTGGAATGTGCGCTTACACGGGACACAGTATATAGAAAGTGGGGTGACCCCATACCGTTCTCATTTGAAGACGTGCGTTGTTTTTGGTATCATTTCTTCTTTGAGTCGAGTAAAGACTACGCATGACCATTGAGTTTTGAGCTTCCTTTCGCTGAGTTTTGCAATTTCATTATTTATTTTTTTACCAGTTGGCGGTACGGCGAAGTCTTGCCAGAATTACCGTGACTGGTGATGATGACTTTTAACACAACCTATGGGAGTTTTGCTTGTAACGCGAGGGTCGGATTCCGACTTTGGATTTACAAGCCCTCCGAAATCGTCAGGGTGTGGAACCCCCTTTCACTAGGGACATTGTCCATTTTCTTCAACGTGAGCGTTTGCTTGTTCGTAATACTTTACTTATTGGAGAAAAGTGACATTGACCTGCCCATTCCCTACATGAACCCCTGGTTGGTCTTGGTCCTTGGGACAAGTGAGCTGAGGTCCTTTCAAAGGGTGGAATAATGGCCCCACCAACCGTGCCGACCCAATGGTGGATGTATCTGCAGCTTTTGGCACGTATTTGCACGCATTTGGTTTTGGTTTGGGCCCTGTTCGTTTGCACTGCGATCATTCATTTTGCCAGGAACCAGAGCTTAGGGAAAATGAGAACCAACAGTTGAACTTGTTGGTGCCCCTTTTGGCTCCAACATTATGGTGGACGGGTTGGACACAATAGCGTGCTCGCCGGTTGCCTCCAGGTGTACACCTTCCAGGTGCGGGCTGTGCGCTTCGGCCAACCAAATCGGCTTGAAGCGGTCGTTGTGGGCACTTCCAGCAGTTTTTGCTTTGCGCTGTTCATCTAACCGCCGGCACTGTGTGTTTTGCATTTTTTTTCTTTCAATTTCTGTTGGATACTTTTTTCTATACCAGAGCTGCTAGGAAAAGTATTTAGGGCCAGCCCTGATCGCTTACTGCGGGTCTCCTGTGTGTTCGCCTTTGGCGTTTTCAGACGGGTATCAACACCTCCGCCCCTAGAGAGCAGATGACTGACTGTCCAGACAAGTGTGAGGACCTTTTCGTGTTTCTCGGGCGCTTGACGTGCTGGTGCACACACACACACACACACGCAAACATGACAGCACTGGGGAACGCATCATAATGATGATTGGTCCTGCTGAGTTTGCTGCTTTTGTTTTCCCAGGAGGCACAGTTTCATAGAGTTCTTTGGGTAAGCATAGGGAAGGCCTAGTTGTTCAGTGATGCCCTTTCTCAATATCTGCTTGGGTCCCCCGCAGGGCATGGCAAGGAAATCGCAGCGCAGCTTGAGGGCCCATACAACCACCCCCAGTCTTTGACCTAGACAGGAGCAACAATCTTTTGCAGGGAGCCTTCAAGGTCCATACGCAGATTTGGTTATTCATGGCAAGTCCGGAAGTGGGAGCCCTTCTACGTGGTACCTGGGCAGTTTGGTGTCTTCAAACTGATCCAGGTGCCATGTGTTTCCGACTTCGGCTTTTCTGACCACTGAGGAACTGAGTTGTAA